AATCTTGATACCTTTAAAGATTCAGATGATGTTGTAATTATTGGATTCTGGGATTCTGAAAGCCAAAATGAACACGATATTTTTAATGAAGCTGCTGAGCGTTTACGTAACGATTATGTATTTGGTCAAACTGGACAAAAAGATGCAGCAACCAAGGCTGAAGTCACAGCACCAGTTGTTGTCCTTTATAAGAAATTCGATGAAGGAAAGAATATATTGAAAAGTCCATTCACCAAAGAGCAATTGGAAACCTTTATAAAGGTTAATTCTGTTCCATTATTAGCAGAAATTGGACCTGACAACTATGGTTCATACGTTGATTCTGGATTACCAATCGCATTCTTATTTTATGAGAATGACGAGCAACGTGCCTCTCTTGGCAAAGCCATAGAGCCAGTTGCTAAGAATTTCAAAGGCCAAGTAAACTTTGTATACATCCATGCCGGCAAATTCGGGCAACATGCTGAAAACATTAACTTGAAACAAAAATGGCCGGCTTTTGGAATTCAAAATCCGGTTGAAGAATCCAAATATCCATTCAACCAAAGTGAAGAAATTACAACAGAAAATATCCAAACCTTCGTTTCAAAGTTTGTTAAAGGAGAAATTCCTCCAAGTGTCAAGTCTGAACCTATTCCAGAAACAAATGACGGGCCAGTAACTATTTTAGTAGCTGATACATTTGATGAAATTGTATACGACAAGACTAAAGACGTTTTGGTCGAATTTTATGCTCCATGTATTTATTCATGTTTTTTTTTATTTCGGAAGTGATTTATCATAAATATTAATAATTATGTTATTCACTTAGGGTGTGGACACTGCAAGAAACTCTCACCTATCTGGGACAAATTAGGCAAAGCTTATTCGAACTCTAAAAATAAGATAATAATCGCAAAAATTGATGCCACTGCAAATGATATCCCTTCAAAATCATCATTTAAAGTTGCTGGTTTTCCAACAATCAAACTCTTCAAAGCTGGTGACAAAGAAGAAAAAGAAATTGTAGATTATCAAGGTGATCGAACATTAGAAAATTTCATCGAGTTCATAACTAAGAACGCCGCCAATAAGGTCGAAGTTAATAAAACTACTCCCGAAGAAGATAAAGAACCAGTCGCATCGGCACCATCTCCTTCTTCTAGTGAAGATAATGTTCGTCATGAAGAGCTATGATCATATAATTTAGATTATTTTTATAAATGTTTCATATGTATGTGTGTCATAAATCAAAATTTTGGATGGTCTTTAAAGAATACTTTTTTTTCTTTTCTATAAAATAATAATAAAAACCCATAATTACGTTATATGGCATAAATTTTGTGGCTATTTTTTGTCACACGTCAGTACTATAAATAAATGCCATTTAGTTGGTTTGCAAGCAAGTAATGCAGCATCCAATAATACCGATTTCCCGTTTTCCGCAGTATGTACATCATATCACCCCCTGACCATACAGCTCCTGCATGAGATCGTCACAACCCAAGGAAATGATCTAGTTTAATTTTACTTTTTATTTTACAACTTATTCATTTTTAATTACAATCTGCCAGCTTAGTCGTGTTCGGAAATCCGATATGTGCTTAGAACATATTTGTTATAACCATTACGGGCCAAAAGAAAAAAAAAAAAAAC